TAAAGCCAGAAAGGGGATTTCCTCTGCTGGCCCACCAGTGCACCTCTCTCTCTCTGTAGTTCCCCGTTCTTTCCCCCTTAAAGCACTTAGCAGTCTTCGAGCAAATCTATTGACTTAGAACTTGAAAAAGTGTTGGCAAAAATCTGTGTAGCAAAAATTACTCCAATGGGGGCCGGCCCGGTGGCGTAGTGGTTAAGTTTGCGCGCTCTGCTTTGGCGGCCGGGGGTTCACAGGTTTGGATCCCTGGCGCGGACCGATGCACTGCTTATCAATGCCACATGCTGTGGCGGCGTCCCATATAAAGTAGAGGGAGATGGGTATGGATGTTAGCCCAGGACCAATCTTCCTCAACAAAAAGAGGAGGATTGGCAACAGATGTTAGCTCAGGGCTAATCTTCCTCAGGAAAAAAAAAAAATTATCTTCAATGTATAAATTTTAATCAGAGGGATGATTTTTTTTTTTAGATTTATTCATTCATTCACTCATCATCCAATAAATATTTATTGAGTAACTTCTGTGTACTAGGAACTGGGCTGGGTGAGACCGGCTAGGTATTTTAGTAAATAATGGCATGTAATATCTGAGCAAGCCTGGCAATGTCAGTGTATCCTTGAATGAGAAGCTCCACTTACGATTTCCTGGAACTAATAACAGTGGAACAGCACAAAACGGCAAATAGCTAACCAATAGATATTTGTTGCTTTTATTAGATGAAGAAGCATTGTAGGGAAGAACAAGTAAACTGAGTCAGAAGATACAGGGCACCCTCTCTGGGCCTGAGGGTCCCCATCTGTAAAATGAAGTCATGCTACCTGCTTCATTTACCAGACAAGATTGCAATGAGAATCAAAGGAGAGAATGTACACGATATAAAGCACTTTGCATACTATATAAGTGGAATGCACACACATACTAGTGTTGTGATCGCTCAGTCTTGAGGTTACTGATGAGAGTAGCTCATCACTTCACTTCAACCAACACAGAAGCCTTTATAGAGGAAAGTGGTCTCGATCAGGTCAGTCACCAATAAATTAAATCATCTGAGTCTTAAAGGGAAAGAGAAGTAGCTATTGGGAGAAACGTGCTCTTTATAAATTAATATATAGTGACTGAAAACAGGAAATATTTCAGGTATGAAAACAAAAGAAACCATATGCTAAAAGACTTAAACATATTGGGGTGGTCCAAAAGTAATTAGGTCAAGTAGGATGAGGATAAGAAAGTTAAAGCTAATATTTTGTCGCACCTCTTATATCCAGTTCATGAGTATATGGAAACAGTCCAGTGTTTCTCAAATTGGAGTGATATATGGACTCTTTTCATAGGGGAAAAATTATTTGGACATCCAAAATGCATTTAAAAACCTTTAGGAGACCTTAGATGAGTCTAGGCAACCTTAGAATGAGTTTCACAATCACCAACTTAAGAAACTTAAGATTTACTTTTTGAAAATGTCTTTTAATTGCAAAGTATTGTTTTTATAATAAAAAAATCTTTAAAATAAAAACATCGAAAATTTAAAATCCCATAGAACGTACAGGGCCCATAGAACATACAGTATTCACAGCTCCCAATTTGAGAAATACTGATTTTTGTCTCACCCCTTCTTTTGGAGCCTGTGAAGACAAAGTGACTCCCCTGAGCCACACAGATGGCTATTAGCAATAGCAAACCATAAGCCCAGGTCACCTGATTTCTAGAGCAAAGCTTTTCCTTTCTTTAGACAAGGCCTCTTCTGTTTGTGGCGGGGCTCACTATCTGCTCCAGACAGATACCGGTATTGTGTTAGCCCAAAGACAGGGAAGCAGATGGAGGCAAGAAGTTTTGAGGGGAGGTGATGTGGGTGTGGCTGATGCAGAACATCATTGCAGCTGGGTGAGCGATTTGTAAGGGAGCTATTTCCAAGGCTGGATTCTTTTGCTTACCATTGAAACAAAGAAACTTTGGGTGGAAAACACAAGCAGTTTTAATAGCGTAGCATTTCTACTTAACAAGTTTGGGCAGAAAAGTAGGAAGAATATCATCTCAAGTTAAAAACTGGAAAGGAACTATAGAAGGTATGAAGTTATAATTCAGGGTGGCCAATTTAATCAGCTCATATTCATTAAACACCCACATACACATGGTGCTTTACAACAAACCCCCTTCCTCACTCTGAAGCATCCATAGGCCTGTTTTAAATGGGCCACCCTGTACATGTTGGGAATCTGGCCAAGGTGTTAAGGCAACTGCTTCCCTTCCTAAGGAAAATAGGGTAGATTTCTAGACAACCACAAGTAAAGGTTAAAGCCTCTAGTTTTACATACCATCTGAAAGCTGGAAAAGACTTAGGGAATCTGTTTTCCAAGAATCTGTTTGCAAAACTCAATAATATATTAAACCCTTCCATTTCAGACCAGTAATATCCTATACTATCTACATTCCCAGACTTTTACCCTGCAATTTCCCTGAATGCATTCCCCCTCCTTATTGGAGCTGAACTCAAGTGCTTTATGAATATTCCCACATAATGACTGAAGCATTACGACCCTTGAGTTACGGATAATTAGCCAATCAATGATTCTGGTCACTTCCGGCCCTTGGATAATGAACTCATTGTAACTACAGAAAGCATGTTCTTACTACTGCCTATTTCAACTGCCAAGAATATTTTCAGCCTTACTGATTTATCAAGTGACTTTTGATTGCAATCCGATGAGAGGACTGATTGGGCCTGCTCCCTTGACGTTCCGCAAGAGCTGAGGCTAGTCAGCTTCTGGTACCAGGTAGTCTCTGAATCCCAGGAAGCCATGTAGCACAAGTCATCCCACTTGGGTCCCTGCCCAACTGGGTTGCAGGTGCTGTGACTTTTCTAAGATATCTCTGATACTTTCAAAGATTGTGACCCACACAGGAGGGCATCAGATCATTAGAAAAGACTGAAAAAATTGCCCTGACATCAGACCAGTTCTCTGATAACTTTCTCATTCCTATGTGATGATCTCCACTAGAAGACCCCAGGAAGCTCAGGACAAGACTCAAGACATTCTAATTACAGCTTATAATACAAAACACACAGTAGGTGCTCAACTAACCATTGCTGGGTGATTGGTTGTTTTGTTTTTAATTTGGGTTAGTTTCAATGGGTAGTTTAGGAAAGTGAGAAGGGTTCAAGAGGTAGTAGATACAAAAGGAGAGACAGGATAGCTTGTTTATAGTACGTCTGCATGTCTCCAAAGGTGTGAACAGGGAAAAACAGGTATTTTTCAAGGCATTTAGGTGAACAATCATAAAAGCTGTTAAGTAATAAGGCTACTTTAATAACACTCTTACTTTTTACAAAATCCTTAGGTGGCCCTGACAGCTTTGCCTTGGGTATGCAGGAAATAAAAAGCAGGTGGCTTATTTGGCATATCTGTCTAGTTCAGGAGTAAGTCTGGATCCCTTGGATCCATAAGAGTCCTTTAGCTTAAGAAACAGAACAGTATCAGTATTCTGGAAGGCTCTTGTGTAATACCTCCCCAAGAGCATCATCTTTTCTCCCACCCAGAGTTAACTTTTATTCTAAACTTGGTAATTTTCATCCAAGCTACTGTCAACATTCAAAATTCCTATCAAATTTACACAGGATAAGGCTTCCCAAGTCAACAGAAGGGACAAATTTCTTCTATTTTTCACTGGAATTAAATCAGCTAATTCACTAATTCATTCAACAAACATTTCTCCAGGGCCCACTATGTGTCAAGCAAAGACTTAGGCACTGGGGAAATAGCTGTGAACAAGACAGGCATGGTCCCTGTCCTCATGGAGCTTACAGCCTAGACAAGCAAATAGTTACACAAGTAATTAGTCATGATTGTGAAAAGAGTTCTGTGGGTGAGGTCAAGGGTACTCTGTGAGGTGTAACTGGAGGCCACAATCCAGGAGTGGTCCCAGGGTCTGAGAAGGCATCCCTGCAAAGACACCATGGGAGGAAGATCTGAGGCAGAGGAAGATTCAGCATCACGACACTAGGTGTCAACAAGAAAACAGAATCATTATTGAACCATTATAGTTTGCTTACCAGGCCCAAACCTTCAAAATGCAGGGTCTGTAAAGAGAAATATAATAAACAGTAAAGAATTTGGAAACCACTGCTCCAGAGTGACCCACTAGCCACAGAAGCTGGGACAGGGGAAAGAGAGTATTAGGAAAACTCAATTTTACCACCACACACAAGAAGATTAAATAAGATCCTTGCACCCCGGCTCCTGAAGCTCTGTTTGCCAAGATCAAGCAGCAGACTGGTCCCAAGTCTAAACAGGGTAATACTAAGTTTCAGCTGTTAAAGCAGTTCCATCTCCACTAACCTTTACAAACCATGACTGTGTCAGTTTTTCCAAGCAGGAGAAATGGATAGAAAGCCAGGCCACATCTTAATAGGGCCCTGGTGAGCTAATGGGTGTGATTATTTCATTGTCTCGGATTCACGCCAGCCCAGGCTCATCAGATACAGGCACAATCCGGGAGAAACATGACCTCACTTTCGACATGGGACTGTGCACTCAGATGCCAACAGGAATTTAGCGATCCCTCAGCGCAGGTAAAATTGAGCTCTTTACGGTTCCAGCTAATGAGAAGCATACCAAAGTTACCTAAAACAGTAAAGCTAATATTGACATTAACATACTAGATACTGTTGGGGCAGGGGAAGCCAGGAAAAACTTCTGAGACCATCTGTGCTAAGTGTGTCGCATCCATAATAAGGTGTGTATTTAAGATAAATTGCCATCTCTTTAAATGATTAAGTACCAGATTTATGGAAAGCTATAACCCCACCAGGGCCACAGGGTTGTTAAGTGGTTAGGGCTGTAAAGGTGAGAATCTCAAGATTCCAGGTGTACTGCAAATTGTTCACTGACTAAAGTCTTTGTCAAGGTAACTTCTGTGCCTCAGTTTTCCTAACAACAGAAAAGCAATTCCACCACTTAGACTGCACAGCTGTGAAAAGAGTGAGGATTTTGTAATCAGAAACTTACAGGCATTCACTGATTCATTTTCAGAACCTTCTCGTTGTACCGTGTCAACATCCATTGGAAAATCCCAGGAAGCACAACACGAGGCTCAGTGCATTCTGACTGCAGCTTACGGCATGCTCAATCATTATTCACTCAATAAATTTTTCCTGAGCACCTACTATATGCCAGAGAGTCAGACCCTGTTCTAGACACTAGGGATATAATAGTGGTTAAAAACAGACTCACTCACTGCTCCAATGGAGCTTAGAGTTTGCTGAGGGAGAGTGCCAGGATTGATTCTTAACTCCTTTGTTTGTGAGCTGTGTGATACTCAGCAACTTAATTTCTCTGTTAAGTTTCATTTCCTCATCTGTAAAATGAAGGTAATAACCTGTCTGGTATGTGAAAGTGCCTAAAATTACATCTGACACACAGAAGGTGTCCAATAAATGTTGGTTTTTTCCTTTCTTTCTCCAAATCACAACGAAGATAACAATGTTTACAGAGTTCCAATAAAAGATGTTTCACAAATGCAAATGACCAAGCCATTATTATCATTGACTATACAATAGGCAGTGTGGTGTAGTGGAAAGATCTCTGGCTTTGGTAACAGAGAGACCAGAGTTAGATTCTTGATTTTCTCACTTATTGGATATGTGGCCTTCAACAGGCTATTTAAACCTCACTGGGCCTCCACGTCCTCATTTGTAAAATGGCAATGATAGAGCAGTTTTGAGGATTAAATAAGATGATAAATCTAACATACCTAGGATAATCAATAAGCAGTGGCAAATAACTGGGTGATTAGCAAGTACTGAGGATACACACAAACACAGAGTGTGTCTCCAAGGAACTAGTTTGATTTAATTACTATAGTACTGTTTGTATGTACTTGTCTTCATATACTTCATTTATTTACAGAGATACAAAAATATATATGAAAAGCAAATATCATTGCCCTAAGAATGGCGTACATTACAGCAGGATTCCTGGGGAAAAGCAGTGAAAAGGGCCATGAAAATGTAATGTCACCGCTTTAAAGAGGGAAGACAGTTCTGTTTGGCTCTTGTGTTGCCATTGTTTCAGGGGCTCCAGAAGAAAAAGAGGTATCTCCCTTAATTTCACTGTTTCTTCTTAATCATCCACAAGCCCAGCTTTTTTTACTTTCTAGTTATCAGAACCCCAGGCAAGGATCTTAGAATATCAGAATTCTATTTAACCCCAGCAACCTGACAGCATTTGAGCAGAATTCAACTATCTGCCAGGGAACATCATAGATAAATACCAATTGGGAAGTCCTCTAGTCAACATCCTCCTTCCCTAAGCACCCATTGTTGGGTCTGTAGTACATGCAGATATGTGAGTCAAGAGCTCTTTCACAAACATGAAAGAGGCATAATGTGGATATGGGTGATGATTTACTCAGTTCATTTGGTAAGTTTCTCTAAGCCACTCAGTAAGGGACAGAGTGAGTTGGGTCAGCCTTGCCCCTGGGAGAGCTGGAAAACAAGGCTCAAGCCCCATGACTTCAGCCAAGTGGGGCATCTTGGAAGGAGGCAAAGGCTCTGACAGCCTCCTTCCTCCACACATCTTTTTGTGGGGGATGTAAACAGGGGCAAGGGAGTCCTCAGAAGAGGTTCACTTGACACAGCCACCAACATTTTATCCCTTCTTTATATATCTTTATATTTCCCACTTCCCCTAGCTCACAGAGCTGGCAGCTACTTAGGGATTCCTATCTGTTTTCCTGGGCTTTCTCTCTGTTGAGTAAATTACCAAGTCTAGACCTAGGAAATATTTTCTCAAGAAATCATTAAGGAGTCAAAGGCAGTGGCGGCAAAGTATAAAGATTATCTATTTCACATCTTCTCCAGTCTCCAACATCCCCTCTCTTTCTGCGCTTTCCGCTGACCATCTCATGTCTTATTTCACTGAGAAAAGTGAAGCCATAAGAAGAGAGCTACTCCATCCTCACATCACCAAATTTACTAACCTGCTTGCATTTATACTCATGTAGTCTTCCTTCTTTTCTGTTCCAACAGATAAGCAGTCCTGCTTCAACCTAAGGCCAGCCCATCCACCTAGACTTGTATCCCATCCCTTCCTATATCCTCCAGGTCTTTGCACTACTGGTTATCCTTTTTCCTCTCCAGCATTATCCCATTTTCTCTTTCTACTAATCAGTTACATCAATACAAAAATACAAAATAAAAACACCTTAGAAAAAACAAAACCACCTTTGACTTCTCCAACTACCACTCCATTTCCCTGTTTCTATTTATAACAAAACACCTTAAAAAGTTGTCTATGCTCTCTGTTTCTGTTTTTACTTCCTCACCTCCAGTTCTCTCTTTAACCAATTCCAGTCAGGCTTATGTCCCCAACACTCCACTCAAAATACTCTTGTCAAGGTCACCATTGACTGTATCCTGCCAAATCCAAGGGTCGATTCTCAGTCCACATCTTACCTGCTCTCTCAGCAGCATTGAGTCTAGCTCCTTCCTTCTTGAAATAATTGCTTCATTTGGCTTCCAGAAAATCACCCTTTCATGGATTTCTTCCCACCTTACCATCCCCTCCCTCCCAGCCTCCTTTATCGATGTGTCCTCCTCTTCTCCACATCTACATGTTGCTGTACCCCCAAGATCAGTCCTCACCCTCTTCCCATCTCTAGTTCAGCCCATTCCTCCAAGCTCCAGAGGAACATTCAGCCGTCTACTTGACATCTCCACTTGCATATTTAACAGACATTTTAAACTCAACTTTTCCAGGACAAAACTCTTAACCCCTACCCTGCTCCCCTCCACCCCTATCTGCTCTTTCCCCCCGAATTCTTAGATCTTTTAGCCTAAATAACTCCATAGGAAAAACACCACCATTCCCAGAGTTATCCAGGCCCCCAAATCTAGAGACAATTCTTGACGTTTTTTTTTATGTTCACACTTCACATCCAATCTATTTGCAGGTCTTGTAAGCAGTTTCTTCAAAACGTATCCTGACTCTAACCACTTCTTTTCCCCTCCACCACCACCACCCAGTCCAAGCCACCATCATCTCACTTGGATTAGTGACACGTTTCCTGACTGGTCTCCTGGCTTCCACTCTGGCCCTCCTATAACCTATATTCCATACAGCAAGCCAAATGATCTTTCTAAAACGTAAATCACGTCACGTCCATCCCTGGCTAAAATTTTACATCATGCTTAGATAAAATCCAAATTCCTCACCTTGCTTTACACATCCTAGCCTGTGCTGACCTCTCCATCCAACTTACCAGCCTCACCAGATTGTTGTGAATATAAATCTAGATATACAAAGGAACTTTAAATTATCAAGTGCCATAAGTAGATGCTGTTGTTGCTATCATTATTATTGGATCGGGTGCCCTCTGGTAAAGGGTTTTAAATGTGTCTTCTAAACATAAACTCTAATTCCTGCCAATGGCTGTACATTATTACAAACAGATTGTGTAGCAGGCAAATCCTTTCATTCTTGTTAATAGGTTCAGTCATTACCCTCCTGCTACATATTTAACTTTGTCTTTTTCCCCTTCTGGATGTGGGATGTCCCTTGCAGGAAACAGCAGCTGTGTCACTAACCCTGGACATGGTCCAAGGCCATTTCCATATCCTGTGGGAGAACCATCCTCTCAAAGTTTGTTTTTGCAGCACAAAGTAGAAGAAAGATCATTTTTAAAAATATACTTTGTATACAGCACTTTTTGTCCAGAAGTGACTTCTGTGTGACCCAGAGAGATGAGTAGTCTGCAGTTTCCAATTCTGCAACTTGTACTGAGCTAGTCATCACAATTATTCCATCCATTACTTAAATGCAATAAGCTCTGGAATGGAATCTAGTAGCCAGAAATAATGTATAATGACTTGGGAGGGAAAATGAAGGATGTGGCACCCACTGAAGAATAAGGGTAGTTTATGGAAGAGGAAAGTCATTGACTGAGTTGCACCAAAATTCCAAAGCTAAGCATCTAACACTTTTTCCCTTGAGAAGGGTAGAATCCCAGTTTCATTTTACCCAAGGAACAATGGTATGACTAGGAGAGAACGTCAGAGGATACAGCAATGCTTTGTGGATCACCAATAGTACTTCCCGAGTGTTCTACTTTTCTTAGGGAGGTTTTCTATAATTCGACTTAGTGGATTCAATCTGTGCGAGAGCTGGTGTGCTGAATTGCAACATGCCAAATCTGATACAATGCCAAGAAAGCCCTGATGGTGGTTTCCTAAATGGGTTTCTAAATTTTACAAACAGCCAAACCCATTGGCACTAGGCTGTTTGCGTTAAGTGACTTATTTTTAGATGAAAAGTCAACAAACACACGAACAATCTGGAGATTCAAGCCATGAGCCCAATGGGTGAAATCAATGTGGAACCAAGTCTTATCTCCCAAGAGAGATGAATCACTGGCCTCTTCAGGACAAGCAAGTGCTGGCTGCAGGAGGAGAGCTGGGTACTGGCTACACAGTACAGCCCAGGGACTCAGGAGGCTGTTGCTTTTTGTAGTTGCCATCTCACTGCACACAGAGGAAAAAAAAATACAATAACCCTAAAGAAATAAAAGAAAACAACAGATTCCAGCAGCTACCTTGAAAATGAGCCACAAAATCCCAACCTGATTTTGTAGTCACACTTCAGATGTCTGTAATCTACTACATTTATTCTTTTATACGCTTTCCCTTCCAATTCTTAGACTGCAAATCTCTCTTATAAATTCACTGCTCTTTTTCGTTTCTTTATGCAGCAGCAGAGTGTTTCCTACTTTGGGAGGTAGGTCTGGCTTTCTCATATGAGGACTCTGATGATTTCTCTCATTCACCACTTTAGGGGTGCTAAAGATGCTAAAGCAGCAGCCTTGGTAACAGGTATGCAGCACACATACCACCACTCCCCCCTGCAGAGCCCATAGGAACTGCTAAGCAGTTATAATACAGCAGTCCAATAGCCACTATTGATCATCTGGAGTTGAATGGAAGATAGAACCTATTTGCCACCTCTAGCTAGAAGCACCCAGGTATTATAGAAAAAACAAGAAGAATGAAACCCATCTATTTTATAGGAAGAAAAACACAGCCAATGACAAAACCAAAATAAATATGAGAGAATTCAAATATTCTGCCTTTACTTTTGTAGGTGGACATAAGCCTGAAGATTTAGCTATGATGGGCAGGAGTATGAATAATGAGGAGGACATGGGCTTTGCCACGTACTGGCTGTGAGATTCTGAGGAATTTATTTTACTTCTCTGAGGCTGTTTACTCATTCGGGAAAATGCAG